ATGTTTCTACCTCAGGGCCTTTGCATTTGCTGTTCATGCATCTGGACAGCTCTCTCCAGTCTTCCTGTCTTTGCTCCGCGTGCCGGCCCTGCTCAGATGTCACTGCCTTCGGCGTCCCCTCGCCGTCCGCCTGAAGTAGCAGCCCTCGCCTTCTTAGCTCTTCCCAGCGGCCCTGACCCACTTTCCCCTCTGTTTTCTGTCTCTCTCTTTACCCAACCCATCATGTTGTTTGGTCTCTCACCGATTCGAAGCGTGCACTTCAGTGGTCTTTAGTCTATGCACAGAGCTGTGCAGCCATCAGCGCCGTCCCTTTTAGAACATTTTCATCACCCCGAAGAGACCCCATACCCATTAGCAGTCACTCTGCGTTTCCTCCCGACTCCCCCAGCCCCTAGCAGTCGCTAGTCTTTCTTAGGGACTGTCTCTTAGGGATTTGCCCGTTCTGGACGTTTCATGTCAGTGGGCTCACACCACATGTAGTTCTTTGTGACTGGCTTCTCTCACTTAGCATTTTCCAAGGTTGAGCCACATTTTAGCGGGTATCAGGGCTTCGTTTCCTTTGACTGCTGAATCGTACATACGCCTTCGTGTATGGAGGCATTCACCGGTTGGTGGACATTCAAGTTGCTTTCACTTTTTGGCTATTACGAAGACTGTGGACGTACATTTCATTTCTCTTGGATATACACCTAGGAGTAGCATTGCTGAGTCCTAAGGTAGCTCTGGGTTAAACCTTTCTAGGCAGTGCCTAGACGATTTCCCAGAGTGGCCACACCCCCTTATGCTCTGACCAGCAGTGTGAGGGCTCCAGTTTCCCCTCGCCAGCTTCTGTTATGATCAGTCTTGATTATAGCCTTCCTAGTGTGTGCAAAATGGTCACTCATTATAGTTTTGATTTGTGTTTCCCTGATGGCTAATGATGCTGAGCATCTTCTCCTGTGCTTACTGGCCACTTGTGTATCTTCTTTGGAGAGATGTGTGTTCAGATCATTTGCCCACTTTTAAATTGGGTTGTCTTTTACTGGTCAGTTCTAAGTGCCTTCTATATATTGTTAGCAACAAGTCCCTTGTTATATGTAGGGTCTGCAAATATTTTCCTTCATTCTGTGGGCTGTCTTCTCCCTCTCTCAGTGGTGTTCTGTGAGTCACAAAAAGGTTAATTTTTATAAAGTTCAGTATTTCTATTTTTTCCTTTGTCACCTATTCTTTTGGCATCATACCTGAGGAACTGTTGTCTAATCCCAGAGCACAAAGAGTTATCCTGTATTTTTTTCTAAGAATTTTGTAATTTTAGCTCTTATACTTAGGTCTTTGATCCCTGTTGAGGTACAGTATACTGTATGAGAAATGGGTCCTCCTTCATTCTTTTGCATGTGAATATCTCATTGTCCTAGCAACTTTTGTTAAAAAGACCTTCTCCCCTCCCGGAACCCCATCCTTTTGAAAATCAGTCGACCATAAATGTGAAGGTTTATTTCTGAACTCTTAATTCCATTCCAGTGATCTATGTGTCTGTCCTTATGCCGAAACCATCCTTCCTTGATTATGGTAGCTTTGTAGAAGTTTTGTAGTCAAAGAAATGTGAATCCTTTATGTTCTCTTCTACTTTTACTAGATGCTTTGACTATTCTGGACCCTTAAATTTCCAAGGTTTAGAATCAATGTATCAAATTTCTACAAAGAAGCCAGCCGAGATTGTGTTGAATTTTTAGATCAGTTTGGGAGTATTGTCCTACCAGCATTAGATCTTTGGAAACATGACTGTGGGACGGGATGTCTTTCCATTTACTTAGATCTTGAATTTGTTTCGGTAATGTTTCCTAGTTTTCAGAATATATATTTTGTACTTCATTTGTTAGATGTAATCCTGCTTATTTTATTCTTTTTGATGCTGTTGTGAATGGAATTATTTCCTTCATTTGATTGTGGATGTTCACTAGGATACAGAAATAATTGATTTTTGTATATTGCTCGTGTATCCTGAAACCTTGCCAAACTCTTGTAGTCTGATAGTTTTTAGTGGCTTCTTTGTGATTTTCTACAATCAAGATCAGAGTATCTGCCAGGAAAGAGAATTCTCGTTCTCCCCTTCCACTGCTTTTTCTTGTTTGCCTGACCTCATTTTTCTCCTCCCACCACAGTGTAAGTTGGTCACTGCTGGGGTCCCAGGGCATAGAACAGGGCTGGCACGTGTTTGAATGAATGGATGGACCCAGCAAGGTTGGGTCCGGTGATGCTCCCAGCCCCGGGCTGCAGTTCCTCTTGTGACACCTGATCCTGACAGGATCCCTGTCCCTGTCTGCCTGTGGTTGGGCACTCTTCTTCCTCCCCCTCATCTCTAGCCCTCACATTTTCTGCTTGTCCTGTCTTGGGGCTGCAGGGAGTTGCTGGAGTCCCCCGTGTCTTCATCAGATAAGACACGTCTTTTTTTTTTTTTTTTAAGATTTTATTTATTTGACAGAGACAGCGAGAGAGGGAACACAAGCAGGGGGAGTGAGAGAGGGAGAAGCAGGCTTCCCGCGGAGCAGGGAGCCCGATGCGGGGCTCCATCCCAGGACCCTGGGATCATGACCTGAGCCGAAGGCAGATGCGTCACGACTGAGCCACCCAGGCGCCCCGGGACGAGACACGTCTTGCAGACCTCCCCAGGCCAGGCCCTTCGCGGGGCTTGCGGATGCTCCCAGGTGCCCACGAATGAGTGGGTGGTGTTCCTGTTTTACCCATGAGGGTGGAGAGGTCAAGCCCTGGTTGAGTCATTCGGTGATGTGAGGGCTGTGAGCCCAGGTCTGCCTGACTTGCGTCCTGTTGCCCCTGGTCACAGCCCTGGCAGGATGTGGGAGAAGCCTCGGGTGGAGCCGGGAGGGGGCTTCTCATAGATGCTCGGTGCAGGCGAGGCGAGGCCAAGGAAACCAAAAGTGTATTTGTTCCTCCCTCATGCTGTTTGCTCTGCCTGGAACTGTCTCCCCCCACTGGCTACGCCCCTCTCTTCATTCCCATTTGAGCTTAAATGTCACCTCCCTGCGGCCAGTCACCTACTCTGACTCACCCTTTCCCTCCACCCTCTCCTGGTGACACTGAGTCATCCCAGGGGTAACTGTCAGTGTTGATCTGTGAATAAAGTCCCCTGCAGAGCCCCGTGCCTGACTCGTACTTGGCACTCGGAGACATGGCTACGTGTCTTGAGGGATATGCCAGGGCACCGCTGGCCCGGAAACTCTGGTGGGTTCTGCCTGCCAGGCTTTTCCAGGCTCTGTGGCCCATGAACCAAGGTGAAGGCTGAACACTTTGACTGTAGTCGGATAGTCCTGGGATCGAATCCTGCATTGTCGGTCCCTGGGGATGTGGTGGTCTGGGGGTCTCTTGGAGCCTCAGTGCCCTCAGCTGTAGAGCGTGCTGTCTGAGGCTGTGTGAGAAGCAGACACACCCATGTCAGATGATGCTCCACTTGTGCTGACCCTCTCCCCTCAGGCCCCAGTCTGGCCGTTAACCTGTGATCCTGGGGTCCCCAGGGTGTGGAGCGGTCACTTCCTCAGCTGTCCAACATGGCCATTCCTGTTAGAGGGGTGATGGGGCAGCAGATATCATCTCTCACGCCACCCCTTCCCTTCCATGGCCACCCCTTCCTGAGCACGGGCTCTGCCAGGTGGGCTGTGGGGGGACAGGGAGCTGCGCAGGGCCGTGGAATTTGTCACTGCCCTCCCAGATCCTGCTGAGCAGCTGGGAGAGGCTGGGTGAGTGCTCCCTGAGGCTCCACTCACTCCGAGGGCCCAAGGCATTTCCCTGTTAAGGGGGTGCTGAATTTTTCAGTGTGGTAATCCCTTCCCCGCCAGTGCAGAAAGAACTTGGGCCGAAAACCAGCTCCCCACTTAGGAAGCTGAGGACCCCAAGTTGGTGTCAGGCTGGTATGGTGAGAATGAAGTGTGTGGCACCGGGAACCCACTGCTCGGGTTCAAGTCCCTGTTCTGCTGTGCGTGCGCTGGGCCTCTGGCCAGGGTCTTAACCTCAGCTCCTGGTGTCTGTGAATGTGGGATTGTCCTAATGGTAGTAGCTGTCCCAGACAGTTGCTGGAAGGATTGGCGTGATCGTGGGTCTCTGGCCCTTGGAGCAGCACCACTAAAGTGCTGGAAGTGCTGTCTGGCACAGGGGAGGCGTGATACGAGCCTTAGACGCTGTTACTGTTACTATTAACGCTGTTGTTGTTAGTGGTAAGTAAGGGGTCTCTGCAGCCAGGCAGCCCTGAGTGGAAGGCCAGCTGTTTCCTAAGGGGGTGACACCAGGCAGTTTACCTCGCTTTTCATCTGTAAAATGGGCTCTGGGGCCAGTTTGAGAAGACTGTTGTGAGGGTCGAATGACTGGCCAGGGGTCAGGGAGGTAATGGCAGAGGAAGGAGCCCCCCAAAGCCACAGAACAAGGGGCAGGGGCAGCGCTGGAAGCAGGGGCAAGGAGTAGCCTCCCTTCTGCTTGACCTCACCCCTACCTTGTGTTTTTTCATTTTTTATTACTTTATTTTTTTGGTTTTATAACACTTACACAAGCATGTCCTTTTTATGAAGGTACAGTCACTTTGTGATACAAAGTAAAAACAAGAGTTCTGCTCCTCCTCCTATCCCCTCCCTAAAGGCCGGTCCTGTCCCTGATACCTGTGTTCACCTGC